TTGTTAAGTACCTAGAATTCAATAATTTGCTATTTGTTGGTTTTAGATGTGTAGAAAGTGTTGTTTGAGCAAATGTTTGGTTTCTGCAGGTTAATCCTGAAGTGAGCTGCGTGAAATTGATGTATGGGTGCATAAACAGTTGGGGTACACTTTTTTTTATTGTTTAATTGATTCTTAAAAGTCTGATTTTTTTGTAATTGATGAGGAAAATAAGAATTATTAATTTTATTTTTTGCTTGTTTAATTGATTTGTTTAATTGATGTGTAAATAATTCTTATTTGTGCTTGTTTAATTGATTGAAATGTAAAAGTTGATTTGTTGATTTCAATCTGCATCATATTAAAGGAAAAAGACCTGTTGAAGGTACACTTTTGCAACGCTAAATTCAAAATCGCAATGCGATTTTGTCGTTATAGTAACGCGAAAGTCAATTCGCGTTGCGATTTTCGCGTTACGATTTTCGCGTTACAAAAGTCAATTCACATTGCGATAGTCTAATACGCTTTGCGATTTTCTCATTGCGATAGTCAAATTCCCGTTGCGATAATCAAATTCACGTTGCAATAGTCAAATTCGCGTTGCGATAGTCAAATTCGCATTGCAATTTTTGCGTTGCGATAGTCATATTCACGTTGCGATAGTCAAATTAGCGTTGCGATATTCAAATAAATGTGTAATAAGTGATAACAACTGAACATATCATAGCAATGTTCAAACTCAAGTTACTAATACATGCCTAACTGAAAATGTTAAAAGTTTACACATAAAATACATATAATAGTCAAATTCGCGTTGCGATATTGAAATGAATGTGTAATAAGTGATAACAACTGAATAGATCATAACAATGTTCAAACTCAAGTTACTAATACATGCCTAACTGAAAATGTTAAAAGTTTACACATAAAATACACATAATAGTCAAATTCGCGTTGTGATATTAAAATGAATGTGTAATAATTGATAACAACTGAACATATCATAGCAATGTTCAAACTCAAGTTACTAATACATGCCTAACTGAAAATGTTAAAAGTTTACACATAAAATACACATAATAGTCAAATTCGCGTTGCGATATTGAAATGAATGTGTAATAAGTGATAACTGAACATATCATATCAATGTTCAAACTCAAGTTACTAATACATGCCTAACAGAAAATGTTAAAAGTTTACACATAATACAACGTTTGCATTTAAAAATCACCTAAGTTAATAGTCCAAAAAGGTGAAGCCGGTTGTGATTGGGATTTTGATTTTGATTGCGATTTTGATTTTGATTGCCTTTTGCTTGACACCATATGAGCTTTGGATTTTGATGAGTATCCATATTTTGGTAGAGGAAAAGATGATTGTGATGGCACTGGTGATCCACATGTCAACCTTGTATGACCACTTTCCTTGCACCGACTACATGTCGATCTCTTCTTCTCTTCACCCTTAGACGGTATATGATCGTGACTTTTTGGTCGGCCAAGTAGCCTTCTGTTTATGGCTGGTGGCAAAACTGTTTGTAAGTCATCTGGTATGTCCCACTTAGAAGAATGTGGAATAGGGTAGATAATCTCGGCATAAGTCTGTCGATATACTTCTGTAGTGTAGCAATCCATAGCGTATGCGCTTGAATCATCTTGGTTTATATGAAGAGCAACTTTTATAACATGGCCACACGGATAACCAGATGTTTGCCATTTCATACAACTACATGTCTTTGCATTTAGATCGACAAGCCCATTTAAGTTATTATCTAGTACTTCAAACAAAGTGTTTGAACATGGTTCAACTCTCCATGTCGTTGACTTCACAACACGTTTCGTTATCTTTTTTTCAGTCCATGGTGTAACACGATGTTCCAATGTTCCTGTAAATTTAAATAAATAATACTTAGTAAAATATATGATAAGTTACGAATTTAAAGAAATAATACATGCATGGTTTCTTTTCTTGTAGTACCACTGTTGAATAGAGGCTTGAAAAAACTCCATTAACATAGTAATGGGTAATTTTCGGGAATGACGACTTAGAGCGTTGATTGATTCTGCACTATTAGACGTCATGAAACCATATCTTGCTCCAAGTTGATGTACTCTTGACCATCTTTCAAACCCGACATCTTCTAGTGTTTGAGCACACTGAGGCAAAACACGTCTTAAACAATTTATATGCTTATTAAAATCCACTTCCCGATAAGCTTTTACAACCTTCCAGTATGTCCATTTGTGATTTTTAATACCAACAGACCTTGATTTTAGATTTCTATACAAATGAACACCACAAAGTCCATGAAAAACACCTGGGAAACACCTTCTAACAGCGTTGTCAATTGAGTTTGCCCTATCGGATATGATTGTCAGATTGCTAATAGAACCTATGCAATCCCTAAGATGCCCCATAAACCATGTCTATGAATCAGAGGTTTCAGATTTGCCAACCCCGTAAGCTATTGGCAATATCCCATTGTTAGCATCCTTGACTACTGCTAATAAGTTTACTCCAAGGTATCGACCTTTCAAATGTGCTCCGTCAACTATAATAACTGGGCGCATGCAAGTAATAAACGAACGAATCTACAAAATAATATACACAAGAAATATAATCATTTAAATGTGAAATGTATGTAACTAAAAAATGACTTAACAAAATTATATTGATTTATTAACCGCAGCACCAATGGCGATAAACAACAACTCAAAGCGTCCATCTCTATCTGTTTTGATATGAGTTACCGACCCAGGATTTTTTAGCTTTAAATTGTGACAATAAGCCGACAGTTGGGCAAACGATGCTTCTGGCGACCCCCTCAACAATTTCAAGGCATAACATTTGGCTCTCCAAGCTTGAGAATATGAGATACTAATCTTGAATCGAGCATTCATGTCAGTCATAATTTCATGTCCCCGATATACCCTGACATTCAAAAACATTAACTCAGCCAGAAAACCACCCAACACCTTTTTGTTTGCCTGTCTATGGTGAGGAAAAACTTGGGTTCTTGAACATGTATGTTTATCAATAAAAGTCCTAACTTGAAACATTTCGCAATCTTTTATCCTCTTTGCAATCATACGCCACGTACAATTTTTGTCAATCATACACCTTGTTTCGAAACGATCTTTGCTTGATTTGTTAACTTTTAGTTGATAGCCATCTTCCACACATTTCGTATACAAAGTTATCTTCAAGTCTTCCTTTGTATAAAAACAATCATCTTTCTTGATACGAATAATTTTTGTGTAACAATCAACTGCTATCTTTACCAACTCTTCTTCCGGTATCTGAAGTAATTCTGGCATATTCCAGTTATACTCCCGTGGCATTTTCTTCGGGGACTTTTCTTCGGGGATTTCTTCTTCTTCTTTTTCTTCTTCAGTGTTATATGAATTACAGAATGGATGTTCAACATGTTCATTCACAGTCGTAACTTCCTCCTCATTATCATCAACAACAACTTCCTCGGCAGCGGCTGTTTCATCATCAAAATTCGGGTATTGACAAATATCAAAATCATTACACGCAGGGTCTGTTTCTTATTCTGAAACATCATCAAAATCCGAGTATTGACCAAGATCAAAGTCCGGGTATTGACCAAGATCAAATTTCGAATACTGACTAGTACTTATAATTTTTTCTGTTGGCTCATCATCGTCTAACTAGTCAATACGAAAACCGGAATTTGGTACTGAAAGTTGATTGGGATTTGGATTAGGGAAAGGTTGTGGGTTTTGAGATTGTGTTTGGTATTGGAAATGTGGTGAAACAACATTTGCTTGGTGATGAAATTGTGGTAGAACCATTAAATTTTGAGCACCATAAACTGGGGTTGAAAAACTTAGTTGATTACTACCCGCTACTGACCCAACTTCACTACTTCTAGGTTCAACAACATATAATGTAACATCATCTTGCGAAACACTAATGTAAGCAATGAATCATTCAACATCTTCATTGTCGGTTAACAAATAAACTTTACCTTTTCTCTGATAAGATAGCCTAAATCCACTTAGGGGCTCTAAATTCAATTTATTTGCAACACGTAACATTAGAGTTTCATAAGTTAACTTTTTTAATGACAATTTTAGTTGAAGATTCATGGGTAAAGGCATATATTGTAAAACACTATGAACATTCTCCCATGACCCTCCAAAACACAATTCTATCCAAACATGATCAACATTAGACGATTTCATTATTGTAAATTAATTTACTAAACAAACGAGCTGCGAAACTAAAACCTGTTGCCGGATGGGAAAGGATGTCGTTGGATATAGGATGTCGTTGGATATAGGAACGGATGTCGCCGGAGAGAGTGATAGATTGAGATGGAATGAGTTGCGATTTAGGGATTTAGGTTATGAGCTGCTGCTGCTGCGTAGTTATATACCCAAAACATTTGTGTTGCGAAACTAAAACCTGTTGCGAATTTGAAATTCAGTGTTGCGATAGTCAGAATCGCATTGCGATTTACATATTCACATTGCGATTTTCTAAAATCGCAACGCGAATTTGGAAAATAGCAATGCGATAGTCAAAATCGCGTTGCGATTATGTATTATCGCGTTGCGATAGTTAAAATCGCGTTGCGAATCTGGAAACTGATTTGCGATACTGGAGATCGCGTTGCGATTTAGAGATCGCATTGCGATTTTGTTTGTCATTTTGGCAAATCGAAAAAAAGTTGATCAAAATCGTATATTATAAGACATTTTCGGTCACTTAAGTTATTTTCTCTTAATTTAATATATACTAGAGCAATTAAAATAGATGAACAATAAATAATTGTCAGCTTGCACTACGCCCTTGTTTACGTTTTGCCAGAAACATAGATCAACAACATATTTTATATTCACAAACTTGAATTGATTGCCAACAAAAATCCAAATTCAATGAAGTCCTTCCCCAGTAATTAAAAGAATCCCCAAGGCTATCTTTAAGACCAAATTAAGCTTTGCCTCTCTATATTTTTTCATATAAATATCCACTTTCCTGGCCGATCAAATCAATTACCAATCATACCAGAGAGGAAATGGTGTGGAAAGGCATTCTGGGTTTTGATTATGGTATAGTTTTAGCTCCTATGGGCCATGATATCTCCGGACCGGAGCTTGTAGCTGCCGTCGCAAACGCCGGTGGCCTTGGCCTTCTTCATGCTCCTGATTGGGTACTAAAAGTTTCCCAGTGTTTTCTTGTTTCTAAATTGTTCTTAGTTTGATCTTCCATAGAAATGTTCTTTTGCTGTTGTTTTTTCCCCCATGTTTTGGGTGTTTTCCAGGAATCACCGGAGAAGATGAAGGAGCTTATAAGGAAGACTCGGGAGCTGACTGATAAACCCTTTGGGGTTGGTGTGCTTCTGCCATTTCCTCACAAGGAAAACATCAAGGCTATTTTGGAAGGAAAGGTTGCCGTTTTGCAAGTTGCTTGGGGAGAAATTTCAAAGGAGTTTGTGTTAGAAGCTCAGAATCATGGGGTCAAGGTTGTTCCTCAAGTGAGTATCATGTATTTTTCCTTCTAAGATTTAACATTAAGGGTGTTTGGAGGTATATATTCGTATTCATGTTTTAGACACTGATATTTTAAGAAAAATGAAGAGTACGAACAATATGAGACGTTTCGAATATGAATTTGTGTTCATACACACCTCTAACGTGTAGGATACATGTGCACCATTCACATCCGAATTTGAAAAATATAGGTGGGGAGTGTTGAGGAAGCGAAAAAAGTAATTGATGCGGGTGTGGATGCAATCATCGTTCAAGGATATGAAGCTGGAGGGCATGTAATTGGACATGTATGAGCATTTCTAGAGCTCTGTTTACATAATTTACATTGCATTTCTGGAGCATGCTTGATGTTTTATCATTTTCAGGATTGCCTAATGTCATTGTTGCCACGAGTGGTTGATGTGATCGGTGACCGTGATATTCCGGTAATTGCTGCCGGGGGCATCGTAGATGCTCGTGGTTATGTCGCTGCCCTGGCGCTCGGTGCTAAAGGCATTTGCATGGGCACTAGGTGAGAACCATCTTAATGTAATCTAGCCTCTGATTTGGTTATGTCGCTTCTCTGTCTCTTTGAGCTGAAATTTTGGTCATTTGCAGGTTTGTCGCAACTCAAGAAAGCTATGCTCACCCGATATACAAACAGAAACTGATCGAACATGATGAAACCGAGTACACCGATATCTTTGGCAGGGCACTCTGGCCTGGTGCACCACAGCGTGTCCTGCTAACACCTTTTGTCCGCAACTGGAAATCCCTTCCCGCTCACGAAAACGAAACTAACCAGCCCGTCGTTGGTCGATCACTAATACATGGAGTGGTAAGATCACTTGAGCACAGAAACATCAGATGACTAGAGGGATCCTTTGCTGAATGAATATTAAGCTCCACTTTGGTTTCATTGATGATATTGTTCAACAGGAAACCGAGATTCGACGTTTTTCCGCTTCGGATCCAAATCCAATGACGACGGGTGAGATCGAAAACATGGCGCTGTACGCAGGCCAAAGCGTAGGCCTCATCAAGGAGATTCTCCCTGCTGGAGAAGTAGTGAAGAGACTGGTTGAAGAGGCTCAACGGTTGATCCAGCAAAGGTTCAATGGGGAATCATTCTAAAAAAAATCTGTTTGTGAACGCAACTATGTACATGTTTATGTGAAATAACTTGAAGAGACCATAATCTATAACAATAATTAAAAGCTATCCTATACAATGGGATAGCTTAATTGAAAATTGTAATTCGCATATTTAAATTTTCATCTATGGGTTGCTGTTCGTTACGTCCGAGGTGAATCTAATAGAGTAGTCCATGCATTAGCTTATTATGTCTATTATTTCTGTGCCTTTATATTTCGATTTTATTGTTCTTTTTGTATTTCTGATGTAGTTGCTATATTGTTTAAAGAGAAAATCGCATCAGTGACCAAAAATGTCTTATAATATACGATTTTAATCAACTTTTTTTGGATTTGCCAAAATGACCAACAAAATCGCAACGCGATTTAGAAAATCGCAACGTTGAAAAGAAAATCGCAACGGTCAAAAGAAAATCGCAACGCGATCTTCCAAAGAATCGCAATGCGATTCCAAGAATCGCAATGCGAGCCAAAGAATCGCAATGCGATTCCAAGAATCGCAAAACGGCAAAAGAAAATCTCAAAAGCAGTAGAGTTGTTCGTATTGCATTTGTTTCTTAAAAATTTTCTCTAAAAAGATAGTATCCGCGCGACCACGACCACGACCACGGCCACGAGACGAGACGGCGGCGGCGGCGGCGCGCGAGAGTCCCCCTTGTTCTCTTTCACTCAACAAGGAAATGAGAAATCCAAGCCTTAAATACACTTCCCAATAGTGTTTCCAATACTATGTGGGATTGAACATTACCAACAACCTTCACATGTCAACCTATTTTGTGTGCTTAATTTGACTGTGCCATTCACTAAAATTGTTGGAGATTAGTTCATTTGAAGAAGTGTAACTAATAAACCATAAGCCAAGTAAATTGCTTTTATTTGTCGTGAAATGATGTCCCTGCAACCTTTGGTGGAACTTTGGACCTTGTAATAAACTTGAACTATGCTTCCAGTTCCATCCAGTAGAGAATTTAAAATCATAACTTGTAACTTTATCTCCAATATCACAAAGCAACAAAAAATCTACAAGAAATTGATCAGCTATGAGGAGAGTCTTGAATGTAGAATTGTTGTGTATAAATCCACATGTATGCATAACCGGGTAGAAATTATATTTGTATACGGCAACCCACCTTTTTTCACTAAACAAAACAATTTTGGCATACCAAATGAACTAATCTCTCTTATAGTCACACTCAAGCTCTTAGCAAAATAGGTTGACATGTGAAGATTGTTGATAATGTTCAATCCCACATAGTATTGGAAACACTATTGGGAAGTGTATTTAAGGTTTGAATTTCTCATTTCCTTGTTGAGTGAAAGAGAACAAGGGGGACTCTCGCGCTCCGCCGCCGCCGCCGTCTCGTCTCGGGTCGTGGTCGTGGTCGTGGTCGTGGTCGTGGTAATATGTGTCTTCGACACGTCCGCGCGGATACTATCTTTTTAGAGAAAATTCTTAAGAAACAAATGCAATACGAACAGCTCTACTGCTTTTGAGATTTTCTTTTGTCGTTTTGCGATTCTTGGAATCGCGTTGCGATTTTCTCAATCGCATTGCGATTCCTGGAATCGCGTTGCGATTTTCTCAATCGCATTGCGATTCCTGGAATCGCGTTGCGATTTTCTCAATCGCATTGCGATTCCTGGAATCGCGTTGCGATTTTCTCAATCGCGCGTTGCGATTCTTTGAATCGCATTGCGATTCTTGGAAGATCGCGTTGCGATTTTCTTTTGACCGTTGCGATTTTCTTTTCAACATTGCGATTTTCTAAATCGCGTTGCGATTTTTGTTTCGCATTGCGATTTTGTTGGTCATTTTGGCAAATCCAAAAAAAGTTGATTAAAATCGTATATTATAAGGCATTTTTGGTCACTGAGGCGATTTTCTCTTGTTTAAATTAAAAAACAAATTCACATTAACATTTTCATGACGGTATTATTTATATTTATTTACTTGAAATATTGAAAATGATTTATAAAAGGGTAAAGCATACGAATGGTCTCCTATTGTTGGGTGTTATTTTGTTGAGTCCTCGAACTATTAAAGTTATAAAATGATATCTGACTATAGGACACTGTTTTGTTGAGTCTTCCACTTAATAAAAGTTACAAAATGGTCATCTGACTATTTATATGTTCCAAACTCATCCTTTTTCGTTACAAAATTGGTTGTCGTCTGAGATTGTCGTTAACCTTGTTGATAGAAATATGATCATAGAATCGTTTTAGCTATATTTTGTGGTTTGAATCTTCATTTACATTATGTCTTCGATCCAGTGTTTAAAATATTATGTCGGCGAGCCTATGCTTGAAAGCAACGACGGTATCGGTAGACATCATTGAAATATAATTTTATCATATCTCAGTTAGCACATTAATGTACCGATGCACATACCATGCATCGATGCACTCCTGGTTCTTTTGAAACATCGAATGTAATTAGTGTACCGATGTACCCCTAGTGTACCGATGCACTAAGTCTTATAACAGTCGAAATATTTGAATTTTACACATAGTGTACCGATGCACCTTGATGGTGTACCGATGCACACACGCTCTCAACTGTTTTATTAAATGTTTTTCACACCATAACGACTCTATTGACTTCACTAATGATCCTCAACGTTCAGAAGTGATTCAAGGTGTATTTAAACAAGCTTAGGAGCCATTGATCAACAATATATTTGAGAGAGAATTAAAGAAAAAGCCTTAAACATCAAGTTTGAGTATTTCAAGCCTATTTTTCATTCAATATTCATTTTGCTTTCAATAACACTTATTGTACTCAATTGTATTAATCTTTGAGTGTTCTTTCTTTGTTTTAGAATTATGCAAACATATTGTCTTATGAGGTTTTTCTGTAAGTTTGTAAAAGTTGTGTATTTCTCTTTGGGAGAGAGTGTTCTCAAGAATTTGGGGTATAATTCTTGAGGGAGTTGTAAGGTTATTCTTTGTCCTAAAAAAAAGAACAAATTAGTGAATTTGTTGGAAAATCCTTAGTGTGGATAGCTAAGGTAGTGGACGTAGACTTTGGTTGAGAAAGTCGAACTACTCTAAATCGCTGTGCAATTATTTTCAATTTTCTGCAAATGCTTCCACCAAAATTTTTATTGCCAATTCACCCCCTCTTGGCTATTTCGTCGATCGATTAACTCAACAAATGGAATCCACATTCCCATGTTTGGTTGGTCGAGAATCTCATTCTCGGTAATGTTTTATTACAAATAGTATATTTTTTGGGATATATTACCGGGAATGTCATTACCTCCATTTCCTTAGGTATTGTTGGATTACCGACGTTTTGGACTAAAATGCCCTTAATTTTTTTTTTCAAAAATATTCTTCTTCTTTCATTGAATAATAAAAATTCTACGAAGGTTAAATTACAAATTTATCTTTAAGTTATTTTAGATTTACAAAAAAATCTATAATTAAAATTTTATATGAAGTTTAGGGATAAAAATAAAATTTTACCATTTCATTAAACCTTTTTATATTTTTAATTTTATAAAAAAAATTATATAAACTTTATGAATTTAAAATTTTTAAAGAAAATATATAAATATTTTACAACTTGTTAAAAAATAAATATATAATAAGGATAATTTAGTCAAATATACATTCCAATAATCTTTTATTCCTTTAATCAAACACGGTAATCGTACATTCCTGCTAAACTAATCAAACACAAAATACAACATTCTCAGTAATCCTATTCCCTGATAATCTTACATTCCGTGAACCAAACGCAAAAATCTAACTCTACCTAACCTAAACTTGATTTCTTTTTTAAAAAAATGACCTAATAACAATAAGTTAAGTCAAAACCCATACTCATCCCTAAAATATCACTGTACTCAACTGTTAAAACACATAATCAATATACTAATAATAAATCTTTGAAATCAACACGTCCATGATAAGGCCTTTTGAATTAAATTTCTTTCGACCCGAAAACCTAGTTTTTTAATTGATGTGTTGTTCGTCTTTTTTTTCTGTCTTTATTGATTAGTGACTACATTAATTTTAATATCAATCGTTGATCATTAGTATTTTTTTATTATTTTATTTCTTTATAACATATCTTTATTTTTATTATTTTCAATTAATATGCATATATTTTATATTTTTATATGTCTTTATGACATGTTTTCTTCTGATTTTAGTACGTTTTTGACTGTTTGACATTTTTTAAGTATTGATTTGATATCGTCACGATTGATCAAGATTGTGTTTATCTTGTTGATCTTTCTTTTTTTCTAATTGGATTTGAATATTCGATTTGTGTTCATTGATAGGTTCTCACGTCGCTTGAGTATGATTTGCAGTTTTTCAGTGGTGTTCCAATAGTTTGATCTCTTTTGTGGTTCGTTTGCTGATGCGAATAGAACTTTTGTATCTATATTTGTTTGAGTTCCTTGGTTAGATTTATAATCTTTCTTTATATGATCATTGTGCGATCTTAAACGACTAATTTTTATTTCAATTATTATAATTATGTGTTTAATTTATGATTAAAATAAATTGTAAATCTATGTTATAATTCAAGATATTTCTTATTTTAATAAAATTAGCGTGATAGAAAGAAAAAAAAACACGTCCTTGCCTACGTTGTCCTCAGTCAACAGTAACGGCATCTCCACCGTTCAATTTCATGCTAAGCAAAATTTGTTTGCTTCCTGAATCCAGACGAAACTGAAACCGAAACTTCAACTGATTCTTACAAAAAGAAGCAAAAATCCAAATGCAGCTATGAACTTCCCCAGTGAAAGAATCCAAATCTATCTTTCCTTTCACATGAGCTTTGCCTCTCTGTATTTTCATATAAACATCCACTTTCCTGGCCGATCAAATCAATTATCAATCGCACCAGAGGGGAAATGGGGTGGAAAGGGATTCTGGGTTTTGATTATGGTATAGTTTTAGCTCCTATGGGTCATGATATTGCCGGACCGGAGCTTGTAGCTGCCGTCGCAAACGCCGGTGGGATTGGCCTTCTTCATGCTCCAGAATGGGTACTATTTCCTTGTTTATATGTTGTTCTTAGCTTCACGTCTTCCTTGGAAATATTAGTTTACTGTTGTTGTTTTTTTCAGGAATCACCGGAGAAGATGAAGGGGCTTATAAGGAAGACTCGGGAGCTGACTGATAAACCCTTTGGGGTTGGTGTGCTTCTTCCATTTCCTCACAAGGAAAACATAAAGGCTATTTTGGAAGAAAAGGTTGCTATTTTGCAAGTATTCAGGGGAGAATGTTCAAAGGAGCTTGTGTTAGAAGCTCATAATCATGGGGTCAAGGTTGTTCCTCAAGTGAGTATCATGATTAGACTTTTTCTAAGATGATTTTAGATAAATGATCTTTCGAGGTCATATATTCGAATTCATTTCTTAGACTCACTCGAATTCGAATATGAATGATATAGGTTGGAAGTGTTGAGGAAGTGAAAAAAGTAATTGATGCGGGTGTGGATGCAATCATCGTTCAAGGCTATGAAGCTGGAGGGCATGTAATTGGAAAGGTATGTGCATTTCTTGAGCTCTATTTACATAACTAGAGGCCTTGTGTTTCTCAACCCTGTTCTATCATTTTCAGGATGGTCTAATGTCATTGTTGCCACGGGTGGTTGATGTGATCGGTGGTCGTGATATTCCGGTGATTGCTTGCGGTGGCATCGTGGATGCTCGCGGTTATGTTGCTGCCTTGGCTCTTGGTGCTAAAGGCATTTGCATGGGCACTAGGTGAGAACCATCTTAATGTTATCTAGGCTCTGATTTGGTTATGTCGTTGTTCTGGCTCTTGGTGATGGAATTCTGGACTCGGTGTTTGAACATGATTTATACGAGAGATGTGCAGGTTTCTTGCAACTCAAGAAAGCTATGCTCACCCGACTTACAAGCAGAAATTGATTGAATACGAAGAAACCAAGTACACCGACCTTTTCGGCCGAGCAATCTGGCCAGGTGCACCGATGCGTGTCCTGTTAACACCTTTCGTCGGTAACTGGAAATCCCTTCCCGCTCACGAAAACGAAACTAACCAGCCCGTCATCGGTCAATCACTAATACATGGCGTGGTAAGATCAATGAAGTATAGAAACATCATATGGTTGGAAGGATTGTTTGCTGAATGAATTCTAAGCTTCTTTGTATCACACAGGAAACTGAAGTTCGACGCTTTTCTATTACGGTACCAAATCCGGCAACAACGGGTGAGATCGAAAATATGGCGCTGTACGCAGGCCAAAGTGTAGGCCTCATCAAGGAAATTCCGCCTGCTGGAGAAGTGGTGAAGATGCTGGTTGAAGGGGCTCAACGTTTGATCCAGCAAAGGTTTAATGAGGAATCAGTCTAGAAATCTATCGTAAACAAAACTGTGTACTTTATGTGAAAAAATAACCCAGAGTACATGAAATAAAGCGATGATTTCCTCTCATTGCTCCTTTATGAACATATTTTGGACACCATTTTATAGGTTCAAATGATCAAATCAAATCCAATATCATACGACATACATGTTCATGAACATAGCTTGCGAGATGCACCACCGAGCGTACGAATCGTGGAGTTTAGGCCAGTCAGAGGACGGGCAATACGAGAAATGGTGAAGCCAAAGTGAAAGGACTTGCTCTTGTTCCTCGTGTTGTAACATATCTATGGCGTCTTCCAATATTTTTCCAAGCTCGGCTCTTCCGCTTCTGCTTAGCACCGGCATGTCGATGCCGTTGCTAACTCGGCATAGCAATGGCAGCCATGATGTTAGCATCTTCAGCATTGTTTGCCTCGACCTCTCTTTGTTGTTGCACTTGCATCCTTCGGTCTCTTCCAGTCCCATGCCCTTGGTTTGTTTGAACAAAAAAGGCTGCAAATTTAAAAATTATTTATTAATAATTATACTCATTATATTTGATTTTAATAATTTTAAAATTATTTATTAATTTATTAATTATGTGTCTTAATTGTAATTAAGAAACCTACCGGAAACTCTAAAAAGCGAACTTTGAAGACGCGGCTCAGCCAAAAGAGAAAGCGAAGCCAAATTCGAAGCCGCAGCCCATCTCTCAACGGGCTCTTCCTTAAATCCACAAGCCACCAATTTCTCCGCCAACCATCAGCCGCCAGCTTTTCCGCCGAGTTCCCCGACCGCCTCACTTCATCCCTCCCGCTCCACACTCCCTCGCCAACCGATCGAACCGTCCGTAAAACCCATCGCATCTTCTACCCGGGCAAGGGTCCTCGAAAAAGCCGCCGACAGAAACGTCCGATTAACTTCACGTAATCCTTCAATGCCTTCCTTATAATTCTCTTCTATAACCTTTTCAGCTAAAGACCAAACGATTTCGTATTTTCTCGAGCTAACCGGAATGTCATTAACACTCGACAGTAACTGCCAAAGCGGCCGACCGATCCCGTGTCGCCGACAGCGTAAACATCGTTTTTGTGGGGCTTAAACGAGTAATCATCGGGTCGTAGAGAGTGCGAATAAGAAGGGAACAAGCGCAGAAAGAAAATAAAGGAATTGATTACAAGATAACGTATGATTTCGAGTAGTTTGTATTTTCTTGCGAAGTTCAAGAGGAATTTGTCGGCGTAAATAAGAACTGAAGTTACCGTGTTACGAAGGAGTAATGGAATCACCATTGATGCAGAATTCTCCATCATTCCCATGCTTTTTTCTCTCTTTATTTTCTCGGGTTTTGATTGTATGAAATTTGTTAGTGTTTAAATAATAAATAAACTGGTAAGAAACAACGAAGAAGGAGATGTGATCGAAGAAAGAAAAACGTAACGAAGAAAGTCCTCTGTTTTCCTTTGCGTGGTTGACATTGTTTCAGCGCCGAATTTTGGTTTGGGTAATCTATGTCAAATACCACTCACCTTTAGGTTTAGGTTCGTTTATGTCAGCAACGTTTTAATTTTGTCAATTTTAACACTAATTTTTAAGTTTAATTACAATTATGTCACTTCGCCGTTAATGGCGTAACGGCATGATGACATGGCACCTCCACGCGGATGTGCCATGTCATCGTGCCGTTACGCCATTAACGGCGGAGTGGCATAATTGCAGTTAAATTTAAACGTTAGTGTTAAAATTGACAAAATTAAAACGTCGTTGGCATAAACGAGCCCGAACCTAAAGGTGAGTGGTATTTGACATAGATTACTCTTATGGTTTTAGAATAGACTGTGGTTTCGAATTATTGTTTTGTTTTAATAATATTTAGAATTTTTTAACATTATTTTAAATTTTCATTATTTTAAAAAATATATAAATTTGATGTGATGAATTATAATATATTATATAAGATAATGTATACAACGATTATGATTATAAGGCGTTGTTTTATTGAGTTCCTTGATCATTAAAAGTTATAAAACAGTCAGTTGATTATAGAGTGTTATTTTGTTGAGTACTTCAACTATTAAAAGTTATAAAGTGATCAAATGACTATTTATACGTTCCAAACTTATCATTCTCCTTTAAAAAATGATAGTCGTAATATTATCTTATTGACTGAGATATGATAAAATCATATATTAATGATATCTACCGGTACTAAGTTGCTTTCAAATACTGGTTCGACGATATAATTTTTTAAACATTGACTTGATGGCATAATGTAAGCCGAGTGTCTATCAACAAAATACAACTAAAATGATTTTTTTATCAAATTTTATCATATCTCAATTAACAAATTAACGTCCGACTATTGTTTATTAATTTGGAGGTTATAGCTACTTTTTGTTGAGTGGCACAGACTCGGCGTGAACTGCGTCTCTCTCTCTCTCTCTTCAATTATCAGTAATTTTTTAAAAAATTGTGTCTAATCGAGTTTGGGTCCGTAAAATTTAAAATTGATTTAAAAAATTATTGATTAATCATCACAATATTGATAATCACCATCCATCAACACCAAAAATTCACCTGACCTCCCAATCGGATCTTAGTTTTACTAAAATGAGTCATGATTTTTCTAAATCTATACCTAAAGTTTCAAATTATCTTTCTTCAATCTCCAATCTTAATCGTCAGATCAATCTAAATTTTAAATATATTACTTATTTTCTCCTAAACTGATCTCTCACCATTAGGATTTATAAAACATGACCAATGAGAGACAAATAAATTGATGGAATGCAAAAGAATAAGAGATTGAAAGAAAATACAGTGTTCTTCATGGGCAAAATCTCGTTGATAGTGCGTTGAAATTTTTTTTTTCACGAAATAGTGGGATCGTCAGATTAATTGCTCAAGTGGTGTCCTCTACAGTACCGGGGGTAGGTCGCCATGCACGCCCGGCGACCTACCAGGTCGCCATGCACGCCCAGCGACCTGGTAGGTCGCCATGCATGCCCTGCGACCTACCAGCCAACGACCTCCATGCCCATGCACGCCCATCTCGCCAAAGGAGCACGCCCATGCACGCCCATCCATGCCCTGCTGCATGCTCGCCTGCTCGCGACCTTGCCGGGACTCCATGGCCCCGAGTGTCCCATGCATGAACCGTTCCTTGGTCGCCTCGAGTGCCCCATGCATGAACCGAGCCCCGAGTGCATGGCACGATCTCCCCATGCATGAATCCTTGGTCGCCCCGAGTGCATGGCGACCTCCTTGGTCGCCGGGCGTGCATGGCGACCTAGGAGGTCGCTGGGAGTGCATGGCGACCTATGGTTGGGTTGTTGGTTGGGTTGTGCATGTCCCATGCAGAGCAAGCCACGTCGTAGGTCGCCCGGAAGGCATGGCGACCTACGGCCACACTGTTGATTTCGCCCTATTTCAGCAAATAATGTTGGGATAACGTTATTTCGTGAATTATTTATTTTGAGGGCATTATATCGTGAGTTTAGCCGTTCTTCATGGTCATGAAACGGTTGTACGATGGTGATAACTTCGACAATGGCTTTGACCGCTTAATTTTTCTTCTTAAAAAATTAAAGTTTAAATTTATTGAGTTGAAAATGTAAAAAAAGAAAAATTTAGATTAAAAAATGGACATTTTGATAAAAAAAAATAGAATTACATCCACTACACATCCCCAAACTATGATCCTAATTTTAAATTAGTTTCTAAACTTTCAAACTTTTGAATTATTTCGAAAGATGTTATTAAAATATTCAAAAGTTTAGGGTTCTATTTAGAATGAGATTTATATTTTATGATGAATCTAAAATGTTCAAAAATTAATGGATCAATTTATAATGAGACTCATAGTTTGCAGATGAAATTAAAATGTCTAAACATTTATAGACTAATTTAAGATAAATATCATAATTTGAACACGTATAATATAATTAACTGAAAAAGTAAATGTGAAAATGACTCCTGGATCGAACTTTTAACATGATGCCAAAATAATAGATTAGCCTTATTACTTTGTAGCATAGTTCTAAAAAAATGTCAAAAATAATAATATTTTACAAGTATTATCGCGAAGGTAAAGCAAATCAATAAAAGTACAGGGTGCTTAACACTAGGCAGATTTGGGAAGACATGCGATCCATGGCCCTGAAGGTCACGTGACACCACCTGATTTGGTTCTCTGGACGTATTCCCAAACATAGTATAATCTTATGGATGGTCATCTTGGATAGACTCCCTATCTGAGTGTGACTTCTACGGATGGGGCTAACCATCAAGAATGACAAATGCTTGTTCTGCAACATGTTACCTGAGACTCGGAGCCACATCTTCTTCGAGTGTGGCTACGCAAAAAGTTTATGAGCGGCCATTCTCCAACTCTGTGATGTCAATCGCATTGTATGCCATTGGGATGGTGAGCTAGCTTGGGTTGTACACTGCTTTAAGGGTAAGTTTCTCATCACGAGAGTGCTAAAGCTCGCTCTGACAAGTTACGTGTATGGCATTTAGAGAGAGAGGAACAGTCGACTGTTTGGGGGGAAGGCAAGGCCGTTGATCGAGATCCTAGAAGATATTAAAGATGCAATTCGAATCCGGATGTCTGGCTGGCATATCAATAGAATGGACCTGAGAAATGCAGCCATCTGTGCAAACTGGGGCATTGCGTGAAGTTGTGTAGAAGTTTCTCTTTTATGTTCCTTGTTTTCCTGATGTATTTGTTTAGCTTATTTTGTGCTTAACCTATAGGCGTATAGCTTTGTTGGTTTTGCTGTTTGTTAGAACCTGGTTCTTTTGTAGCAGATTTCTGCTTTCTTGGGTAATGAAATTGATTATCCAAAAAAAAAAAAGTGGAACATCGACGTGAAATGAAAGTGAAAGCTAACCATTATAATCGGGGATAATTTAGAAGAGGACGAATAGAAATAATTTCTTATCGAGGTATTTAAAATTAGGTAACCAAGTTTTCGGATACATGTAAAATTCGGTTACCCGTATTTTCAGATCACGGGTGCTCAATTCATATTTTTTTAATTTATTTTTCTTTAAATTAAAATACTTTTAAAAATTCACATATAACAAATATTAAAATTAAAAATCTAAAATACATAATCCACACATAAAATTTCAAATTTCAAATTATCTAATTGAAATATAAAAATTATTAAAAATTAAAAAAAAAGAAATATAATTAAATCTAAAATATTTTGAAGTTAAAAATAAATATTTTAAAAAATAAAATATAGGTGAAAATTTTCAGAAATTAAGAAATTACAATGCTATTGTGAAAAAATTTAAGAAGTTAGAAATTTAGAATGTTTGATTGAAATAATTTGAGAATTAATAATAATATAAAATATTATATATATATATATATATATATATATATATATATATATATATATATATATATAAATAAAAGAAATTAGGTATTAGATCGATGGGTATCCGGTAAAGTATTATGTCATGATCTGGGCCTGACTAGAAACCTACCAAAAATAATGAGTCCAATACCCGACCCAAAAATTCAAGTTTTTTCAATATAAATATCTTGTAACTTTAGATCGGGTCAATGGGTCATGTCATTTGAATCGGGTATTTTTGAACACTCTTAATTGCCCTCTAAAATTTTAAAGTCATATATATATATAATATTCTTATATTATATGTTAAAAATATATTATCGTCTCTCTAATTTTTTTTAATTAATCTTCTCATAAAATTTTATGAATTCACTGTGTAACATAAAATCCATAAAAACTTCCCTGATTACAACAAACCTATTAGCCGGTGAAAGTAAAGGGAGACGTCCATAAAAACGGTCAACGATGGTGGCGGTGTGGCAAAATGATGGCCCACTCCACGGCGAACGGAGGTATGTCTCAGTGAGTGGCTAGCCCTCTCCACGGCCAACGGAGGCGAGTCCCAGTGAGTGGCTAACGGGTTTTTTTGGTCGGAATGAGACAACTCTCTTACTAGTACCGGCGGTGACAGTCACCGACGACTGACGATGGAGATCGAGAATGGGTGTTCAAATTGTCTTATCGCGATTTGGGACGAACGGTGGACAGTGAATATGAATTGAGAGTCAAGGTGTGGTCGGGAGGCGATGTCGGTGACGATGGTGATGGCAGTGTGAATCACTGCTGACCGGAAGTGGGGTGATAGGAGGTGGGTGAGAGAAAAGAAGAAGAAGAAGAATGGGGGGTTAACGAGAGTAAAATGCCACGTCAACTAAAACTAACGAGAGGTAACGACAGGGACCTTAATGAAAACGAACTAAAAGTTCGATGATTCTATTGCAAGTTTCAAAAGTTAGATGACCAAAATACAAGCATCCTAAAAGTTAGGAACTATTTATATACTTTACCCTAAGAATAAATAAACTCCTAAACCGAAAAAATGTGCCATATAAAGTTAATGGATCTTTAGTTTTTATTCATTTATTAAACTATACTCCTATAAATTAATATGAATATTATATATAATTTAGGGTAAATTATCTATTTGGTAATCCATCTAATCTCCTAATTTAATATACTGCCTAATCCTATTTCATCCTCTAAAAGGATCGCTTGTAATACTGCTGGGGCTGTCCTAAACTCCCTTCCATTGAAGTCATCCTTCTGCACTAGCTTGGACATTGCATCCGCTGCCTTGTTCGCTTTCCGGCTCACTTGTGAGAAAATTATTTCCCAATCGTTTAGTATCCATATTCGAATATGCTGAAGTGTGAAGGAGTAGCAAGGAATAACCAAGGTGAACGGCTGACCGGTTTCATAAAAGCGGCGGGCATATGTTCAACATTGAAAGTTGAACTATGGGGATTCTTGAAGGTTTGAAATTGTAACATCCCTAACCCGTATCCAACTTAAATACGAATCCGATGTATCACATTAACTTTTAAAAGTACTTTGACTCTTTAAAAATCCGATTGAAATTTGATAAAGAAAACAAAATTTAATAAAACACAGTTAAAATACATATCAGAGTATCTAAACTTTACATTTATCATACATGCCAATAACATTTACCATACACAATCACATACAATTTAAAAATCTCTCTGATATGATAATCTTCAAAGGTATGATGTCCTGCTCCTCGCTTACATGTATTACTCTTTGCATAACTTTAAACCTATGTGTAAAAACACTCACACGCGAAGTCGATGACTTAGTGAGGCATTATAAGTACTATGAATCTATAAAACATTTGTATACTTTTATAAAAGAAATGTTAAATTATCAAAAGTCACCAATGTTATAACTTATAACCTCTCTTATTAATTACTGAAGAATTTATACTTATTTTATTCTTGATTATATCTTCAAGTCGTTTCTCATATAGACTTTTAATTTCATATAAACTACATAAAACTGATACATTTTTCATTTTATAACCATTTATTTAATTTTCCCAAACGTATAATATTGAGAATTCTAGGTATTTGAGTACATTGAGATTGTGCACTAATGCTGTCACCACAGCTCGTAATTTGCACTGAAGTGCCACATAATTATCCCGGAGAACCACATAAAACCCTCGACTCTTGGCATGCCAACTATACCTCTAATCCTCATACATATAATGTGGGCTATTAATCACATAATTATGCTCAATCATTAATCAAAGTGTTTCTTATTTACATAGTTACTCTCACATAGAGTCTTTTCACATTCACTTGTTCAAAGTTCACATTTTCACTTTCCATTTATGTTCCATGGAACATATCCACTTAACACATATTCATATAATCTTTCACATATATCTTATTCACATAGCGTTCTCAAATGTTATTATTTATTCACAATCACACATTTATTCATGATATCTTGTTTCACAAAGCATTGATCGTTATTTTCATTTAATCACATATATCATATTTTCATAGTGATTTACATAATTATTTAATATCACATATCATTATTCAACGAATTCATTTACTTGTATAAAAACATAATCATATAGAAAATCTTCACATATAATAATATCATTTCATTTTGTTCAAAACATTGTAGGTTGGCTTATCACAAGCCTTCCGTCAAACATCAATAAATTATGTATATAGCACTCACCTTTGCCTCACTGAAGTCCTAAACGAATTCCATAACACTTTTGGATAAGTACTTAATATGTCGAGCTAACCTGAAGCTGATTACGATCAACCACTAAACAAAACAAATCAAAAATCAATATCGTTCTTTTAACTGTTATATCCAATCAGAATAACTTGTGATGCAAGAAATTTTTACTTTTCATTTCATACCTAGAAGTATCGGTACTATCCCTCCAGTACCGATACTTCTCTTCAAGGGTATCGAAACCTCCTCAAGGTACCGATACCAAAATGACATTCGATGTTTGCATCTTAAAATTGGTATCGATACCATTCTTTAGGGTATCGATACTACCCTTACAGTATCGATGTCTCTTCAACATGTATCGATACTACCCTCAAATTTCATAGATTTTCCCTTGAAGTATAAGTACTATTCTAACGGTACCGATACTCGAAGCCCATACTTGCCATTTTCACTTCGAAAATCTCCCAAAAAATCCTCTCAATCTCTTATATCATCCTTCATTAAGCCCTTAAACTAAACTTCTTTCATTCAAACCAACTTGTCATCAATTACTACTCTTAAACATGCCAAATTCCACAAAAAAAATCTTATCTCTAAAAATTATACCATGTTTTCAACCAAGCTCTTAATCATTTCTAATACTCCTAACCCTTTGATTAGATCATTGACAAGTCAAATATCTTAATAGAACTTCAAAAACCACTCTATATCAAAATTTCATTTCTAAACTCATTTTACCAATTCATCTCTAATTTGCTCATCTTGTTGTTTTAATCCTATATAAACTTTCCTTAAGCTTATATATCACCCAAACTTTCAATACCCAACCAAAAATTGAAGAAACCCACAAATTTACAAAAACTTACCTTTAGCCATGGATTTCACAACACGAAGAAGAATAAAGCATAAATGGTTCTAGACTTTTTCTCCTTATCCACGTGTTATATCCCTTAAAAGATAGAGAAAATAAAATCTTTCAGGTGAAAAGATCATAATGCCCTTCCACTAATCCAAATTTAATATCAAGTCATGACTGAAAATTTCCAAAATAAATCCTTGAATTTTTAAATTATTCTAATTGAACCACTAAATTTTGAGTTTTTACATTTTGATCACTGACCCGATGTTTGGGATGATACAGAAATGCACCTGGAATCTTGGTTCACGACGAGTGATCATCGAAACTGATTATTCAGCTATTTTTATTTATGAACAATTTTCATCTAGTAAAATGTCGTTGTTTTATGCTTTTTACATCAAAACGGTGTGGTTGCTATGCTAACAATCATCCGTCACATCATCATGTTATTAACAATTTAATTGATAAGTCGTATAATTAAAACATAAATCAAAGTTCAATATTACAATTGATAAAATTAAAAGTACAGTGGTATAAACAATGTAACGCCTAAAGTTCATAGGTATCTGGAGTAATTTACCCTTAAATTAATAATAAATTAATAATAAAATAGTAAATTATTCAATTAATAGTAAATCAATTGAAAAACTAAATTATTAAAAAAATTGGCCTTTGATAAATTATTAAATTATTTCAAATTAAAATATAACCAGTTTGATAGGATTTTTAAAATATTAAAGAATTATATAATTATTTTTGAAATATAATTAATTTGACCAAATGTATAAATTTTAGAGAATAAAACTATTATTATATTATGTTACATCATCATTTTCGTTTAATCAATGTTCAAACTTCACAATAAGGTATCAAAATAGAAATAAAATATAATGTTAGTTATGATTTTGAGAAAAATAATAATTAAATAACCAAAACAAAAACATGAAAATAGGTGGAATACTAAGTAGGTAGTTTAGCCTAAATCTTTATATATATATATATATATATATATATATATATATATAAAGATAACTACAAACCCTATATATATATATATATATATATAAAGATAACTACAAACCCTTGTATCCCTTATTCGCGTAAACAAACGTGTTTAATAAAAGTTTTTCATTGTTTGATCATCATAAATGACATAAATGTTATAAAAATATATGAAGGTTAAAAGTTAGGATTGATAATGACTAAAGTGAATGATGTACAATTTCAGAATACTTTGATTTTTTTTATATTTAAAATTAAAATTAATTAAAAATATATTTTCTTATCTTTACTTAAAAATATATATTTTAAAAAGATAAGATAATAATAATATATATTTTTAATTTAAAATAAGAATAAAATATATTTTTAAGTAAAGATAAGAATAAAATATTATATGTTTTTTAATTTCAAATAAGAGTAAAAAATATATATTTATATTAAATTAATAATAAAATATTTAAATATATTTCAAGTTAATATGTTTAAAAAAATATTTTTATGTTATGGTAAAGATAAAATATATATTTTTACATTAAAATAAAAAAATATTTAATAAATTAAGACAAAAATAAAAATATTTAATAAATTAAAACAAAAATAAATATAATTTTAAAATTTAAGATATATAACATATTATTAATTTTGTGTAAATCATTTACATACTACGATACAAAATGTAAATCATTTGTTGTCCAAAATATATTAAATGGTTGTCTTGGCTCAATAGTTTGGCTTGCATTATTTCACTCAAGAATAAATATATTAAATTAAAAATAAATTTAATCTTCCAATCAAATGATGACATGTGTCATGAAAGGAATGTAACCAATGGCACATGACTCCTCTTGATTCGTAGGTTAATTTATTTTAATTTATTAAAACTATGATCAAATTGAAAGAATATATAAATAACATGAACTATTTGTGTAATTATACCATCCAGGTAAGCCTGTTAACGACTGTTAACAGTCGACGTGTGATTTCCGTCACGATTGTTAACGTCGAGTGACCAATTTGTAACAAATGATAATGCTAGTGACCGATTTGTGACTTGTGAAACATCAGTAGTAAAAATGAAAACTTACCCGAACATTAATGACCATTTGAGTTTACCCTTAAATAAATTAACATGAAAGGATTTTTTTTAAAGAAAATTACTATAAAACGAAGTCAGCATGAATAAAATTTGTTTAGTTAATTTATCTTTATGGAAATTTTATTTAATAAAAGAAGATAAAATTTGATTGTTTATCATATAATTAATAACATTACATAACTTTTTTAGTAGTTTACCCTTGTATAGGAAGGAACTAGAATACTAATTTGATGAGATAAAATATAATATTTTCTTATATCAAATAATAATTTATAATTATTTAATAAAATTTTTAAATTTATAAAATAAGTTAAATGTATTTTTGGTTGGTTCCAACTAGTGAATAACTATGTCACTGCATATATATTAGATACGATAAAATGTGGGACTACATACGTTAATTAATAAATATATTTGATTATAGTTTTCTCGTTAATGTGTAAGATAGTTGTTGATGAGGTCCACTTATGAGCTGTGCCCTCTACCCCATGCATAATGCGATGCATATTTAATCACTGAAAATGATTTTTCTAAAATTATACCTCTCATTTTATCTTTATTATTAATTTATATTTATTTTCATGGATCAAATATTACTTAATTATAATATTAAGAGAATTGTTTATTTAATAACTTCTTTACAATATTTGATTTAAATTAATCGATCAATGAATAATAATATAAAAATATTACTTAACCAAAATAATTTATACATAATATAATTTTCCTTGATTCTGATAAAATAATACATTATTTTTATCCAATACTTTTAATAAGTTTTTAAGCAATACATTAACTATTATTTTTTAGGATTTATTTATATTGATGAGACTAAATAAATTGTGTCGGTTGTACTTAGTGATTTATCTTATCTATTTCGGATAGAGAGTCGTAGTCAATAAAAAATCGATCGTTGGTCAATATTAAGATATTTTTCTTAAATCTAATAATATTGATAAATTGTCATCTTTATTTAATGGCATAATATAAAATTAACTATCCATACTATATCATTTTTCTTAAATTAGTGTACAAACTATTTTTCGGTTAATCTAGGTACTTAACATTACAAACATTATTATTTTAGGTATCCGTATAGTAACGGCCGATAAAGGACATGTGGCGCCTTTATAAATTTTTTTTAAAAATATTTAAATTAAAAAACTTAAAATTATGTTTTTTAAAAAACAAAAACCCCAAAATTTTACTAAACTACAAAAAAAAACCCAAAAAGAATTAGAACCTTAATTTCAATCCTTTGCTCATGGCCGACCACCCAACAACGAATAACCGCCCAACCTTTTACGACCAAAACCCCCTGTTTCCGCAACCGACCAAGCACCCAACTGGTCGCAATTTAAGTTCATCATGGTAGCTTTGTTCGCCGGCTTCTATTATAGTGATTTTTCGTCGGGTTATTGGTCATCGGTAGAGGTACGATCGGTTAGAGGTTCGATTGAAAAAAACGACGAGAACAACAGGCGTGAATATAGAGATTTGATTTAGAGTTTTTAAAGTTTGGGGACGTTTTAAAGATTTTTAAAAGTTTTTGGCTTTTATTTTTTTAAAATATATATAATTTTAAGTTTTTTATTTTAAATAAAATTTTTAAAATTTCTAGAACATGATAAGTGTCACTGAATGAGATTTTTAACAATCGTTATAATCAAAATACTTAAAGTAATGACGTTTGTAACATTACATATTTAGATTGACCCAAAAACAAATTTTGAGCATCACTTTTGGATAAATAATATAATTTGAATAATTATTTTTATATTAAATTTTTTTAATATAAAATTTTATTATAAAAATAACTCTCTCAACTTATTTTATCCATTTACAAATCAATAATTGAAAGTACATATTTACTTTATATTCGACAAGACAACCTATTGACAAGACAATCTGCAGTAAAAAGCGATGTCAATAATTGAGAGAACGGAAGAAAACACGTGGTCCATGTAACCTAATTACTGTTTATTTTAATAAATGTATCAACATTTTCCAACTTTCATGTCTCTACTGTGTACATTATTATTTCACTTTATTAAAATTGAAACAAAGAGAGAAGAATTTGCGACTAAAAACAGCTGGTTATGAATTGAATCCATAACATTTTTTATGTGTTAATCTTAATTTATCGTATGAGGATGAACATGTGAAAATTTTTGCGAGAGAAGTCAATGAGTTGAGAAACAAGAAGACCCCAGTAAAGATATTGTGGTGGAATCATAGTTTAAAAGAAGCCGAGTAGGAAATGAAGGTGTCGATGAAGTTTAGTACCACAATTATTATATTCACATAAATTTTAAGGACAATATTTTCTTAAGCAGAAAAAAGAACATATAATTATACAAATTTAATTAGAAAGAGCCTACGAGAAGTGATACACCATCGAGCATACGAAGCATAGAGGTTGGGCCAATCGGAGGACGGGCAATACGTGAAATGGTGAAGCCAGAGCGACAATACTTGCTCTTGTTCCTCTCCTTCGAGCTTGTCGATGGCGTCTTCCAATATTTTCTCTAGCTCGGTTCTTTCGTTTTTGCTCAGCACCGGCACGTCGCTGCCGTTGCTCGCTCGGCATAACAACGGCAGCCACGATGTAATCATCTTCATCTTCGATTGCCTCGGCTTCTCGTTGTTGTTGTTGCCTTCTTCACTATCTTCTTCCACTCTCATGTTCTTCGCTTGCATGAATAAAAATGCTGCATGTTTTTTCATTTATTAAGTAAATAAAATTAATAAAATTAAACTGAATTTCATCAATTAAAGATGGTTTAGTTATAATTTTTATAATTTTACTTTACAAAAACCAATTAATCCTTTATTTTCAATTTATCAAAATTTATTTTTTATATTCTATAAAAATTGAAAACTTGTGGTAAAATACATAAACTTGACTCGCTAATTTTCAATTAAGTTATTACATATAAAATAATAAAAAGTTGAATTTTATTAATTAATGAATTGTTTATTTTTTATGATTTGTTGGCAACATTTAATAGTATTTTATCTAATTAGAGCAGCTTTTCATTTATACTATATACTCCATATAATAAGGACAAGTTGATATTAACTTAATTATTATTATTAAAATATGTTGATTTAAAATTTAATTAATATTATTATAATAATATTATTATATAATTTTTAAATAAAAATCGAAAATATTATTTGACAATCAAAGAAAAAGACCAATAAATTTATAGAGAACTCTCTTATTACTTCATTAATAATTTATTAAAATATTTTTTAAATAAAACGTTTATTTATTTATTTTTAAAAAATTATGAATATTTTTTTACATAAAACGTTTTCATTAATTCACCCCATATTTGTGAATTGTGATAAAATCTAGTATTTCATAATGTTATCGAATTTGCTTAGTTTTTCAGTTTTATAAGAGGACCACATTCTGATAAATTAAAAATAGTGAAGTTAACTTTTAATTTTTCATAAAACCGAGGGATGAAACTGTTAATTAAACCGATTAAAAGGGCAAAGAAAATACCCGAAACTTTAAGAAGAGAACCTTGAAGGCGCTGCTCCGCCATGAGAGAAAGCGAAGCCAAATTCGAAGCCGACGCCCATCTCTCAACAGCCTCGTCGGCAAAACCACAAGCAGCCAATTTCTGCGCCAACCAAAGCATCTCCGCCGCCAGTTTCTCCGTCCAGTTCCCAGACCGGTTCACATCCTCTATCCCCCTCCCCACCCTAGAACTCCACACCCCATCACCCACCGATCGAACCGCCCTTAAAACCCTTATCATCTGACAGTGAACCGGCCCACCTTCGTAACCGACCTTACCGTATTTCAGTTCCGCCATTGCATCTTCGAGCTGACAAAGCGTCTTTGAAAAAGCCGCCGACAAAACCACCCGATTAACTTCACGTAAAGCCTCGACACCTTCCCTGTTATTCTCCTCGATAAGCCTTTCGGCTAACGACCGAACAATCTCATACTTCCTCGAGCTAACCGGAATGTCATTAACACTCGACAATACCTGCGAAAGCGCACGAGCGATCCCCGAATCGCCGATCCCAGAACCGGACTCGATGGCGTAAACACCGGCTTTTCTTGGCTTGAACGAGTAATCATCGGCTTGTAGAGAGAGCAAATTCGATGGGATGAACTTTAGAAAGAAGAGAAAACAAGAGACGATGAGGTAACGAATTATTTTAAGCAGCTTGTTCCTTTCCGAAAAGTAAAAAAGGGATTTATCGGCGTAAATCAATACATGAAACACAAAATTTCGGAGCAGCAAAGGGACTACAATCTTTGGTGGATTCTGTATGAAACCCATGGTTTCTTTCTCTTTCATTTGATTGTAATGGCTTGAAGTTTGACTGAACGTGGTGTTCTTTTTCTAGAAAGGATAATTGGGAAGACGAAAGGGTGAAGTATTAAGAGTGAAGAAGATAAAGGGATTATTGCCTTATTGGGCAGTTGAAAATGTTTAATGTGAAGATGGAGACTAGTGGGAAATGTTTACCGTGTGTGAAATAATTTTTGGCATTTAGAAGCTTGGGATTTTTGCTTTAATGGCGAGGGTCCGGTTTAGTTGATCTGTGGGGCTAACAATAAACCCTACTCGCTTTAAATTATGATTTTGGGACATTAGTTGCTATTACGATAGATAGTGAAAATCTAGTAATATGTCGAGGTTCAAATAATAACTAATTTGGTATTATTTAATCAAATCTAAATATATTAAAAATCACATAACTTTTGATTACTTGTATTTAATATATTTTTATTTTTAAACAATAAATAGTATGAATTAAAAAATGAAAATACAATCCTATTAATTTTAAATAATATCTGATCGGAAATACATTCTCAAAAGAAACCAACATTCATACATAAATTTAAAATTAAATAAATATTGTGATTAATTTTTAATTTTAGAATATGTTTCATTATAACTTAATCTCGAATAATTGAAATTGAAATTGAACTTGTTTTGCTTTCTAGGGAGAAAAGCATAAGAGTACGTATGCTGCAACATGTGTCAAGGCACGATTATTACTGATCATGCTTTTATTTAGTGTCAGAAAAAATAAAACATGTTTGCTTGTTTCTTGCTATTGGGTTTTCTGAATTATTCATATTTTAGAGTAAAATATATAAATAGTCACTTTATTACAAAGCGTATTTTTTATTAATATTTTAATTATTAAAAAGTTATAAAATAATTTTTAATTATAGATAGTTATTTTATTTATTTTTTCGATTATTAAAAATTATATAATAATAATTTAATTATTTATATATTTTAAAATCATTTTTATTTAAAAATTGACGATTATTTGAGTTTGACGTTAACCTATCAATTGAGATGTGATAAAATTATATTTTAATGATATCTACTGACAATGTTATTGCTTTCGAGTATTGACTTAACAACATAATGTAAGCAAAGATTCGATCCATAAATTATAACTTAAAACTATTATGAGATCATATTTTATCATATCTCAATCAACATGTTAACGCCCAGTTGAGACAACCACTAATTTTTTTAACAGAAAATGACGAGTTTAAAACATATAAATAGTTGAGTGGTCATTTTGTAACTTCTAATAATAAACTGACTCAACAAAATATTATTCTATAGTAATAGACTATTTTATAACTTTTAATAGTCAAACGATTTAACAAAATAATATCTTATTGTCGAAATATCAGTTATATACTTTACCCTATATTTTAATACAATAAACAAGTAAAATTAAATCTTCCAAAATAATTGTCTTTAAAATTAATATATTCGAGTCCATCAAACTTTAAATAATTGCTTAGAAATTGATTTAATGGTAATCATTTGATTATCCGTGTAACTCAATAGCTCTTTTGTTAAATCAATATTTAGATTCGAATAGTTATAGTAGTTATATATATATATATATATATATATAAAATAACATACTTAAGATTTCTTAATGTTAGGAGGAGATAAATATAAATTTTAAGGAGTAAAAACGTATTTTCAATAAAAAAATGTATAAATTTTAAGGAGTAAAAACGTATTTTCAATAAAAAAAATGTAATTGTCTTCACCCACAATCTCAATCCATATTATATATATATATATATATATATATATATACATACATACAAGAGCGGAGCTTAGTGAGGGCTCAAAGGGGTCCTGGCCCATGTTAAAATTTATATATTCGATATAATTTTGGTATAATAATATTTTGGTTCATGTAAAAAAAAATATTTGTAACTGCTAATGTTAGCACCACAAATCCTAGTCCATCGATATATAGAAGTATCATGTCTTGGACTCGACCTCCCACCGGTTGGATTAAGGGAAACTCGGATGGGGCTGTTAAAACGTGTGACAATATGGCGGCTGCAGGAGGTATTCTGCGCAACTATGAGGGAGAATGGATTTTTGGTTTCACGCGTAGTCTAGAACGGTGTTCGATTTTTACTGCTGAGCTGTGGGGTGTGCATGATCTCTTGTTGCATGCTTGGAGACTAGGAATCCGACAAATTGAACTGGAAACTGATAATCTAGAGGTTATGAAGATCTGCAATTTTTCATCGGATGCGCTTGTGGGGAGTGCTTTGGTCACTAAAATCCATGAACTGCTCAAACTTGAGTGGATCACAAAGGTATCACATATATGTCGTGAGCAGAATATGGTTGCGGATAGGTTGGCTGCTTTGAGCTGAGGAGCCCCCATGCTGCTACTATTTTCTTAGAGCCACCAGTGGAGTTATCTTCCACGTTGCTACGAGATCTTCAAACCTCCAACTAACTCTTTTCTAAATGTTATATATATATATAAAAAGAATGATAACCCCGTGTTCTAAAAAAGTTTGGTCTAATAATATTTTAGGTGTTTGTAAGTTTAAATATTACACAAATTAAGTATTATCTTGTGAATTTTGAGTTATATATATATATATATATATATATATATATAATTAGGGTAAATACAATATAATATCTGTATAAGGACTCTCAACTATTTGACAATGAACGCTCATAGCCCTACATGCGCAATGCTCGAACTTGAGACCTCAAGAATAACAATAATCCCTTAATTACTAAGGTTGCTTAGTTCGTTTTGAATCTTGAGTTTAAATACCTAATAAGTATTTATATTTTTTTCTAAATAATCAAATATTTCGGCCTCTGTCAATATTTAGTTCTAACTCTATATACTTTCATTTTCAAACAAGAATTGGGCCATTCAAGAATAACAATAATCCCTTAATTACCTAAATCTAGAGCCGAGCAAGACTCGAATGGCCCAATTATTGTTCGAAAATGAAAGTATGTAGCACCTTATTGTTATAAAAAGGGTCAATTACCATATTAATCGTTAAATTATGAAATCGATTCTATTTTAACTACTAAACAAAAAATGTATCAATTAAATCATTAAAATTTTAATTTAGTTTCTATTAAGTCATCAATCATTTAACTGTTAACGAGATTAATGATATGTTAGGCAAGAGAATTTACATAATATATATTTGATCCTCATTACTTATACATCTTATAAATTTAGTCATAATTTAGATTATAATATTTTTTTCAATTCTCATTACTTAGGTATTTTATTAATTTAATCTTGATTTTAATTAGAAATTATTCAATAAACTTAGTCTTCTGATAATATAATGATCATTTATTAGTAAAAAAATCAAGTTAAATATAGATGAAAATAAGAGGACTCAAACTTAGAAACTATGTGTTGTAAGCACACAATCATTGAGCTCTGCTAAATATTTATTTCATTGTTGATGAAAATTATATTTACCTTAAAATATAGTTGACGTGCATTTTTTAAATAAAGTATGAATAGGTTTAAAATTATGGGATTTAAAATTAAGATTTTTTTTGATAAATTATAAATCTAATCTTAATTTTATTTAGAATAGAAGAGAATGTGAGATTCTAAGGGAAGGAAGGAGAGTGTTCCTAGTGGGTCTTCTAGGAACTCATAACCTAAAGAAATATGAAAGAACAAAGATGAACAGCTTGAGCAGAATATACTAACTCTGAAAACTAATTTATGTAAGTATAATATTTAGCATAATTCAATGATTAAGTATGTATACACCACCTAATCCCCTATTCAAGGGATAAATCAGAAGGCCATCTCTTTAACATAGATGAAGCCCTTAATGATGATTGTTTAATTTTAAATGCGCAATACTTGTTGAGAGTAGTAAGGTTTGGACCTTAATTGAATGATCTAATGATTCCCTTATCATTAATATTAAGCAGCGATTTAAAAACAAGTAGGATGAGAGTGATAATATAATTAAAAATAAATGCGATACTTATCATCATTTTAATCTTGTGAGACTTAGACTGAAATAAATTAGATAGAACTCACATATAATGAGACTTGAACCCGAATTTAAATTCAAATTTAATTTTTTTTTAAAAAAAAATATAAGAAGATATTTAAACATTAAGATTATTAAATTACTTCAAGCGTAAGACTTTGATTTTCTGGCTTAGACCTTCTTATTATTCAAATATATATATATATATATATTAAAGAGAAAGTTGTAGTCATAATCCGAGGACCGTGAGTTCATAATGAATCAATGATCTTGATCCTATTGGGCATTGAGCAGTCAAACTTTTTAGTTTTGGGCAGTCAGACTTAGTTTTGGATTTGGTTTGCAACACTGACATGAAAACAAAAATCTTGGAACTTTGACCAACATCCACTTATCCCGTCGTATACGTTAATAACTGAAAATTTTCATTTAAATTTTACAGCGAACACGTACTCAGCTCGACTACATATAGATCCGCCAGTGTCTTCTCCATGTTGTGCACTTGTATTAAGCTATTTCGTGATTAGGTTATTTCCAATCGCATGATAAAGTAAACTTTGAATTGTATTTAGACTAATTAGACTTTTATTAATAATTCAATTTTTAAGGGTTTATTTATTTATTTTGGGGACAACAAATTTCTTAATCCAAAGACCAGAAACTTCTCCTCGTAAGAATTTTATAAGCCGCCTGAGATTTAATCCTGTAGTGCAGAATACACACATATGCTTTACTGTCTATGAAATACAATCCGTCAAAGTATTTTGATGTCATCTCATCGGTGAATAAGTCACAAACAAATCAATGAAAAATACCGAATCATAAACTGTTGTTCCGCGTGTACATCCCTTGATCTTTCTCCCGCTTCTCCACCCTCCAATATATATCTCTCATCTTGGACGAAATAAAAATTCAAAACAAAAGCTCAAGGAAAATTCACGAGAGGGAACATGAATCGTTTTGTGTTAAGGTCAGTGAAGCAACGTCTAGTCAACGGCCGGAGCTACTACGGAATCAGCACCGGAGGCGGCCGAGCAGTGTACGGATCCGCCGTGGTTGAGCTGAGCGGGCAACGAAACGGCGGCGTGGTGTTTGGAGGATCTGAGTGGCGAAGGATGATGAGCTCTGCTCCTGCTTCATTGGAGAAAGCGCCTTTGGAGAAGAAGCAACATGAGAACTCGGTGGCGGAAGATACGAAAGGGAAGGATGTGGTGACGTCGAGTTATTGGGGGATTTCAAGGCCTACGATCACTAGAGAAGATGGCACTGTTTGGCCCTGGAACTGTTTCATGGTACTATTTCACCTTTTATTATTTGTTAATTTTTTTTCTTCTCTTATTTTTAGAATTTTGATCCGAAACCGAATCGATCATCAAAGATAATAGAATTTCTTTCGATTAAGATCAATTCAGTTCATTAGTTTCTAAATTAAATTACTCATATCATATTTCTACTTCTTCCAATCATTCGTATAATTATAGTTTGATTTTCTGATTACTTTTTGTGCTCTGTTTGTTCGTGCTCTATGATGCAGCCATGGGAAACGTACAAGGCAGACGTGTCAATTGATGTGAAAAAGCACCACATGCCACAGAACTTTGTGGATAATTAGCTTACAGGACGGTCAAATTCCTTCGGGTTCCTATGGATATGTTTTTTAAGGTTTGTGTTTTACCTTCTCTGTTCCATAACTGCAATATTCTATAATTTGTTTAATTGCATTTTAAATGTTCTTTTGTTAATGTTTTTTGCATTTCGACTGAGATTAGAGGACCGTATACACATTCATCTCTAAATATGTATTGTACATGAATGTATCCTATGGCATTGCAGTTCCGCTGTGGTTTAGTTTATGTATGATCAGAGTTGGGTCGAGGGTAGAGGTGCTATCACGTCTATGAATTTTTTTATATTACTTTCTAAGTCCGTATCTTAATATAAATCATGTATCTCTGTCTCTGTAGTGGGCACATGTCTAGAATCCGGGTATTTGTAGGCGTCCTGCTTAGAATCGATTCTCCGATCCTGTTTTAATACTTGATCTATGCAGAAACGTTATGGCTGTCATGCAATGATGCTGGAAACTATAGCGGCCGTCCCCGCATGGTCGAGGGATGCTTCTACATCTCAAGTCACTCCGTAAGTTCCAGCATGGCGGTGGATGGATTAAAGCTTTACTCGAAGAAGCTGAGAATGAGAGGATGCATCTGATGACGATGGTCGAGCTTGTGCAACCCAAGTGGTACGAGAGGCTCCTTGTTCTCGCCGCTCAAGGGGTGTACTTCAACGCTTTCTTCCTTGTTTATGTAACCTCCCCCAAACTGGCGCATAGATTTGTGGGGTATTTGGAAGAGGAAGCGATCATCTCGTACACCGAGTATCTTGAAGCGATCAAAAGTGGCGAAGTTGAAAATGTCCCGGCTCCTGCCATCGCGATAGATTACTGGAGATTGCCTAAAGATGCTACGCTAAAGGATGTTATAACCGTCATCCGCGCTGATGAAGCTCATCATAGGGATGTCAATCATTTCGCTTCGGTATGTATAGCTCAGTCTTTGAATCAACTCGGAACATAATCTGGTTTTGATTTGATTCATAAACGTAAATCTATTCGAGTTAACTTGAATTACTAAAACCTTTGTCCAAAGCTTGATCTTGACAAGTCTAACTTGAAACCTTTGTCCAAAGCCTGATCTTGACAAGTCTAACTTACCAGATCAGGCTAGTAGCTCAATTTCGGATAGACTCGGAAAGACTGTCCTCATAGATCTCAATTTTGAAGGTTTGATAACCGATCTTAATGCTTTCTATGTATGGGGTTCCGGTATGCAGGATATTCAGTTTCAGGGGAAGGAATTAAGGGAGGCACCCGCTCCTCTTGGTTATCATTAGCTCCAACTCAATGTCGGATATTCATGTGTTGCTGCAAACTTGAAGGGTCTTTATTCTAAATATTGAGTATAGTTTGTGTTTCATTTCCCTATTGGAAAAAGAAAAAGGGTGTGTGGCTTATTGTAATTTCTAAATCAATAAGGTTTTTGTTTATTACTATTTTGATAGTTCTTTCATATTCTTATTGTCACCAGAACATATTATATATTTATTTATAGTACAAGTGTACTAAAACAATCCCGTTAAAAAAATAAATTAATTAAACAGTCTATAAATTAATAATGACCCAGATCAAGTTGATATAATCAATTAATCAAATGTTAACACAATTAAAATATATTTTTACTATATATTAAAAATAACACACATGAGAATATAATATATAAATATGATCAGTTAATCAATCAAATGATAATTCAATTAAAAATATTACAATATATTTTCCTTTAAATTATTATGATATTATTTTTATCTTTCTATATTTTATATAACCTTCAGATAAAATAATAAGATATCATACAACCGAGAATCAAATTTGTACTTCATAAAATTAATGAATAAATTCTGTACTACTTCCATGGTTAGAAACATCTTCTATCACCCATATTTTATGACAAAATATAGTCTAAATTATGTCCATAAACAAATTATACTCTCCCTATGTCAATTATTTTATCACTTGTATATTTTAAATTATCCAAGTTAACAAATATTAACTTTCATATTTATTTTTTTAACCTTCGACCTTAAAAAAGAACTAAACTTTTAAAGACTATTTTTGTCATTTCAACCTTATATGACAATGATCTGTATGAAAATTCTCTTTTTAAAATAAGGTGCATAATCAACAAATGACAAAATTACTGGAACATGTAAAAAAAAGTACAAAAAGAAAAAGGAAAAAAAATGACAATACAAATATCCGTTACTTTTATTTGATGGACACCATTGGGAGATGATACCATATCATGAATCATGTGATACACAGCCATAATCTGAGGCTCTTAATGAAGGGTACACACCCCATTTTGCAAAGAAATACGAAAATGAGTACAAGTTTTACAGAAGAAGAATGCCATCAGCATTCTAAGAGACCTTAATCTCCTCTTAATTACCATAAAATGTTCACGATTATTTCTTAAAAAAGGTCAGTGTTCTTCACCACCATCGAATCATCCCTCGATGCAAATTTATGAAGTGGTTGCCCTATTGAAAGGAGAAATGGTAAATTAATTATATCTAGGACTTCAAAGCCTATATTGTCGCCGATGTTACTTGCATTCGGGTCTCTGTGTCAAACATGAGTATTGTAAGAAGAAACGAAGAGGCAGATTGTCAACATATAATATATGGATGAGTAACGTGATTCAGACACGTACCGGAAAGGAACTATGGTGAGACACCTTCAACAGCTTCCTCACCTGCAACTGAACCCACCAAATTTCACATGAATCATATGAATGCCTCGTTCATTTAAAGTATGAGGTGCTTAATGAATCACTAATAAAAAGTTGTATTATCAGTTTATTTTCAAACACCAGAAACGTAATTCGGTCTAACAAGTACAACATATTCATAATGTGGGGAAATAGATTAAGTTTCAATCTATTTGCAAAGAGGAACTTCATAATTAATACGTAACACCTCCAAAGTAACCAAAGGATAAACTCAAAATCTCCAAGAGCCACTTGTCTGAAACCAAAATTAGAAAGGGGTATGTTTTATGTTTAAACTCATAATTAACACTCGACACTCCGGTACTGGTGAGGGATGAGAATGTGTTTGGCATGTGTATAGTTAGATTTTTCTAAATTGTTTCTATAAACAGCGTCCTCGGAAGTCATATCCCTATATCTATGTGTCAGAAACGAATACTTCAAAACAGAACAACATAGGCAAAACCACACACAGGCTACCGTACAAGGTTTACAGCTACATAACCGAAACAAAGCCTAGTAAGCGGGATCATAATAAGTCCCAATGCCTAATGAGGAAATCATTGTTAGTCCTCAAATCAGCACATTCTTAACAATTTGCAGCATTTTTCAAGTTAGGCTAATCCAGCACATAACCTAGTATAACTGAAAAAAGGAGCATGCAAACCACAATCCCTATAGAATTGACTACCTCGAAGGTTAGAATTGAAACCACAGGTAGTCAAGTGTTTAGCTAGTGCCTCTCCCAACTCCTTTTGCCAATTTGGTAAAGCCTTGGCTTCGGAAACAGGCCACACGATTGCCGTCTCCGAAGCTAGATCGACACTTGCAGAGAGACTTGGGGCTGCACATTAAAGCAATCATACAATAAGAGATAGAAACGATTCCATTTAAAATGATATATATATATATATATATATATATATATATATATATATATATATATAGAATAACTTACTTGACTTTCCAGTATTTTCTTCACACTTGAAGTACACCCGCCGCAAGTCATCCCCTAACATAAATTTAAGAGCAAAAAATCAGTAGCATTTTACAAGTTTTTTTTTTCTCAATCTTTCTAACACGGGGGAATCATATGTATCATCTTACCCCAACATTGAGAATAATGACATCGGATGAAAGGGCAGAAAGGTCACCAGCCGCTCCGAGTCCTAATTTAGCCTCGGAATCTCCGCCGCCCGTTCCTTCCCCACCCCCACCTCCACAGCTCCCATCATCGCCACCAAACGCTCCGCCTCCGCCAGAACTCCCGAGGCACTCCAAACGGCGGTGAAAACGTTTGGGAATGGAGAAGGAGCTGATCCTTATAGGAGAGGGGCACGAAAGGAGGCGGTGGGGGTCAAGAGAGGGGGTTTGGGGTTGGGGAAATGAAGGTTTAGGGTTTTAGGAATGGATAAGGGAGTAGCTGAGAGTGCTGATTCCATGTCTAAAATTATTATCAATTATCTTTCTTATCCTTTGGTTTGTGTGTGTATATATATATATATATATATATACACACAGAAGGCGTCGAATTTCTGACATCTTAATTCTCAAATAAGGTTTTTTTTATATTTATTCTTGAAATAAGGCTATTTACCTAAGTAATTATTAAGAATGTCAATGTAATCATGCTTTGTCCATACTCCATACATGTTATAAATAATTTTTCAAAAAAAAATATAAGATATAATATTTCTTATTTTTAAATTTTAAATTACTTGTAATGTGATTGAATTTCCTTTTTTCAAATAATATCAAAAGAAAAAAATATTAAAATTATGCAAATGCATAAAATATACTATTTCACAAAAAACTTAAAAATATTATAACGCTTTTACCTAAACAATATAATATCAATACTATAAAAATCAAAATAATTTTTTTCAAGTGAGATATTTTTAATTTTAATATTACCCACGATTAAAGCTAATGAAGATTTCTTCTAATAAGGCCAATATTTTAATCATTATCCAAATAAAAAAATATTAAAATTTGGTGATATACAATTATCATATTGAATATACATTTTGCACAAATTAATAAGATTAATAGTCAAATGTAAATTTGGAAAAGATTCTTATGTTTGATTGACATTGTTTTTTCATAAAAGATTGTATCATTATTAAAAAATGCACATTTACATCCAGTATTTTTATGAGGAAAAATATTTTTAAGGTTTTTTCCTGAAAAATAATCTTTTCATGTGTGTTTATAATGATTTTTGTTTCAATCGATAAATTAAATAATAAGTGACAACAGCAAGAAAAAGATATTTATATGCTATCTTCATTCTTCAACAAGTGAGAGGAGAAATTGAAGAGATGAATGAATATGTATAGTTATCTATTAACTCACATGTATTGTTTGAATAAAAAATAAAAAAATATTTGACTCGATTATATACACAAGAAGAAGCTCGATGAAATAAATATTATACTAATTTGTTAATATATATATATATGACAAAATGATTAGAAGGAATGTGAAGGTGTAAGAGCTTAATTAAACTTTTTCTTAAAAAACTTTAATTTTAAAAATAAATAGATAAATTTTAGTTATGATGATAAAACTTCACAATCTTTTGATGATCCAGATTCGAACAACATAGACATAGGATACTATATCATAATGTTTTAAAAAAATAAAATATTTTAATATGAGAAAAAAATGGGGACGTGCCACGCTTTAAACCTGTATCGAATAGTAGTGAATAGAAAAGCAACGGAAGAAGCTTAACCTGCTAAATGTAACAGTGGAAAAAACAATACATCGTTAAACATTAACGAACGTAGTAATCAACTAGGTTAAAAGGGTACGATATTAAAGTTTGCTGGTTCAAATTGCCAGCTTTGATCAACAGAATGGTGAACCGTAACTTGGGTCATCGCGTGCCGATTGGGCGCACACTGGCCTTTCCGATCGTCATCCCCGTTTTCAGAAGAAGTAAATAAAAAACACGAACCGAACCTTCTTAAACCATGTAAGTCATGCCCACCTGAATGAGGTGTGAATGCGGCACGCTCAGATTCGCAGTACCCCTCCTGCAGTTCTTCCTCAAGAAAGCATAAAAGTAATTATAACCAGTTTCTTATAAACCAAGAATCTTTTCTTGCCCTTATGTCTCCATGACCAAGAAGATAAACGACTCCAGATTCTTTAGCCGTTCGTATAAAAGATAGCTCCCTTTCTAGACTATGCTCGGCATCAGATGCCGATGGACCTGCAGCAGAGTCGGGCTTTACTACCCACTCAGATGTGCTTGCTTCTGAAATCGAATTATTAGTGCACCCATACTCAGCCAGCAGGGGAACCCCAAGTGAGTAAACACTTCCACTTGGAGTCACGAGAACTCTCGAGAAAGATGAATCCTCAGATTCTGCGTCTTCGTCACCATCGCTTTCCAATTGCCTTTCCTGGGCTTCCCGACGAATGTACTTCTCAAGACTATCAATCAGCAGCTGCTCAAACACTAGGTGATTTTCCTTACGAACGTCCTTGTAACCATACCTGAGAAAGCGGTTGGTCAGTCGACCGAGAGAATTCCATAAGGGGAAAAGGTGAAGAACGATGAGGAATAAGGAATTGTGCACATAGTGGAAAAGGAGAACTATCAAAGATGCTGCCAGATTAATTCCACAATTACCGTACCAGTGTCATTTTTACAATGGGATCTAGTTTCGAAACAGAGCATCGTACCTGGCAATACACCGAAAGATATGGTAACTTTTGGGGCAGAGTCGCCTGAAATAGAATCGTTCATTCTGAGGCACCACGGGAACAGGGACATACTTAACGCAGACAAAGATGACCATCGAGTGGATAGCAGGGAGTGTGGTTATGAACTGACCGAATATAGCTGGTACTCCTTTCGCCAGTTCATTATAAAGCAAACCAATACCGGGAGCTCTGATTGTCCCAAGGTTGCAGCCCAATTCTCGCATCAAATCCATTGGCAGTTTTCTCGTCACTTCAGTTTCATATTTAAGCTTGCTACCATAATTCCAGATCCACATAATGACAAACATTATGACAGCGAAAACCAATATTATCCAACTTCCATCCGGCACACTCCATAAAACTGAGGAAAAAGGTCAATTCCAAACCAGGAAGAAGATCACAAAACTCAGCACAATTATGATGTTTATCTGCCATATGAGAAGCATGACAATTGTGACTAAAATATGGTCATCATCATTACTCCAAGCTCGGCTATACCTGGAACAATATATATAACTAGAAAGATGAGAAATCTATCTAATTTTGAAGCAAAGAAAAGGTAAGGAGATCGCTTTATCTCGGTAGTTGTTTCAGCACCCCATAAAATAATTGCATATTACTTCTTTATACCCTACAAAGAACCTAGACTTTTATGAGTTACATGAACAATAATTAATTCAATGATAACAAAAGTGACGACTGCTAGTACAACCAATACAAATGAGACTTATCAAGAAATATTACCATAGGCATTTCCAATCTCGTTAATGCTTGAGATGGAGCAACCATGACCAGGCAAACTCCCAGCAAGAACCAGTTTATGACAGGAATAGATCTGACCCATGAACCTTTTAGATGTGTGAATGATTTTAAGACGAGGGAAACAACCAAGAGCCGATGATTGCTTTATGCACGAAAATGTTGCTGTTGTCATTGCTCGACTGGCAATCAAGGCGGCAATATAGCTATCAATAAGACTGGCCAAAACGCACCACCTACATGGGGCAAAAACAGTTTCCCATTTAAAGGAAGCCAAGCAGGGTGTATTTTCAAAATAAATATAGGTTCTAATCCAAATAATTCGTGATCGACACCCATTGATGATAAAACGTGGAACTTACTAGGAATTGAAGAAAAGAAATGTTCAGCACCGTTATGATTTCCTATAAGGTATGCTGCTTGACCCAGGTAACCCAACAATAGGCAAGGCAATACGAGAAAGACAATGTCAGCTGCAAACAACCACTATCACACAAATCAAAAAATTGTAAGATCTAGAGTAGAGGACTACCAGCAATTTGTACAGGACATAGAAAATGCAGATGATAAGGTAACCCCTTGCTCCATTACCTGAATTGATCGTACAGAAAAGTAGCAAAGGTCTGCAAACATTGCTTCAGACCCTGAAACATAAACCATCACCAGCACAATGATCATATAGAACATATGCCATTTAATTTCCAACTTCAAAATCATGAAAGCGAATCAAAATGCTTTACTTTAGCTGAATTTTGTAAACACATTAAAATATTGCATTCCAATGCTTCAAGAAACACTAGATAAACAATAAAAAAAAGTTGGGATAATGTGAGATAACTAGAAGTGACATTTCCTACAACAATTTGTGGGGTTGCAAGAGATTTGCAGTATGACATTCTTGGAAATTATCCTTGACAAAAGAAGGAAAATTGATTAAAATAATAAAAATAGTCAACCTTGAAGTACAATAATGTTTTATCAATGTGTTTACCTGTTGCACATAAAAGACAACCTCCAAGCGCATACCAGGCATTAACTGAGTTTCTCTTGAAATATAAATAGATGTGAACAGGATTAAATGCCCTCAAGACGCTTGCATCATGCTTAAAAGATTGTAAATTCCAATGCCTGCTAAAGAACAAAACCATATGAACAAAGCAGGGCCTACAGCAAGTCCTACTTGACTTGTTCCAAACTTCTGTACACTGAACAAAATTACAAGAAAGGCAACTGATATCATCACCACTTCATCTGCAAATAAATAAAAAATAAGGAAACACAATAGTTAATGACTATTTACCTGTATAAGCAAATCATAAAGGAAAATAAATCATAGGATGTAAAAGAGGGAAGGCAAAAGAAAAAAGGTCATATTGTTTCTAATAAATGCAGATTTAACATTTAACCAAACTGGAAACTATAGTCTGACTAAAGTTAAATTATCATTACAAACATCACATGATTGAGAAAAAGGTAGCTGCAGAAACATAATGAAGATTGTAGACTCGTGATTTAGTTATGAGATCTACAGGTTAATAACCACCGCATGCTATATTCAAAAAAAAAGTTTCAATAATATACAAGTTAAATTATGCAAAGGTTCTTAGCCAAAAGGTAAATTGAGAAACAAGAATGTCCTCTCTGACATAATTTACTAACAAACAAAGGAAT